TCTTCATGAAGAGGCGCCAATTATCTATAGTTAAAGGAAGCCTGTTAATATTAAGAATGGCATTGTAAGCATTTTATACTTGATATTCTATCCCGGATGTTGCTCAACTCTAGTGCCCAACTACCAAGGAACCCTAAAAATTACTATATGTGGCAAAGCCCAATACAATCACGGGAGTTCATAATGAAACGAAAAACAAATAGTTGCAAAAAATTATTTGAATAGAGTAAACTTTGTTTATAATTGTAACAAATAAAAGAAATATTAACATTAAAAAGCCGAAATACTTCTGTCCTTTAATTTAATTATTCTGTCCGCAAGGGTATTTAATATTCGACCATTTAAGACATAGCTGTTCTTTCCATAAATATCGTTCTCATATGTACCCCGTATATTAGTTGTCAGAGGGCTGCTTCTAAATAGCAGGTACATCAGGCGCGGCGGCAATTGCTAATTAATTCATATGCGTGGTGTCAAAAAGTTGTTGTTGCTCACTAGATGCCGGGTTGCGTATACGCAGCGTAGACTGGATGTAATTAAAGGTGAGTTGTTGTTGGTTGTGCGTATGTGCTGGGAAAGTCTTTACGTCAACCACAAAATCTAATTTGCACATTTTCGCACTTAATTTTAGAGAGAGAGACAACGATTGAGTTGATGGTCTGACAGCATTGACAAGTCGCTCGACTTTCGCCTAGCAGCGTTCGCTGTCGCTCTGGCTGTCACACGCGGCGTATGCGTAACATCAGCAAAACCACAAGTATGCATACACAAAGTAGCGACTAATATCATTTAATTTATTCAACTCTGTAGCACAGCGTGTATGATATTAATTTCCGTTTTGTCTTCTATGCACTCTTGGCATTTTCACTTAAGTCCCAACACTCTTAATTCATGTGGTTCTTAAGTTAATTATTGGCTAAAAATGACATTTTTGGCAGAGGTTTTTTGTTCATCCACAATTTGGCCTTAAAAGGCATAAAATGAGGTGTGGCAAAACCAAGTCAAGAAATTTAATTAAAATTGTACGTTAAAGTTTTGGTTTTAAATAAAAAATCTGTTTTTCTTTACGTAACAGCAGTCCCTGAATTTTCACTCAATATATAACCTATTCAGGCCCTACAAATCAAACATTATTCAGTTTACCATCAACATTAAAACCTTTCGTAACTCAGCTTAGAAAATAAATAAGTTTTGAAATCTTAGAAATTTTTCCTTTTTTCGTGTAGCCCGATTAATGTAACTCAATTTCAATAATATTAAATATAAAAGATATTATAATCTCGTTCGCTTTCAGCTCTTACCAAATCACCATGTGCAGTTGGCCTTGCTATCCCGCTGCCTGTATTGGTTCCTGCGGTGGATGCGCGCCGAGTGGCTTCTATGATCCCAGCTATGGATCAATGGCTGGGCCCGTTTGCGGCCTGGGTGGCTCTTGTTGTGGCTGCTGGGGGGGTGGCTGTTGGTGATTGAATGTTGTTCTCATGCTTCCCATGTTTGTCCTGGTGAGTAATTATAAAATATTACTTTTTTTTAATAATATTTTCTGAATATAAAAATGTGATAAGCAGAAAGAACTGGGATATACATGGCATGGTTGAGGCGGTTATGCAGATTTGGCTTACAGAAGAAATCCAGGAAGAATTCTAGGGTCATTTGACTTTCAAAATTATTTATATACCCACCAGCGCTCGGTAATCTGACGCTTCAACAGCTTTGATCAGTATATAAGGTTTATGTTTACATAGACAAAGAAAATAAAACCATAATTTCACCAATAACCATCTTGATTTATCTATTATATATTCCTCTTATGCTATATATTTATCGAATAAACTGAAGAATTCTACTTTAATTTTTAAGCAATCTCTTTCTATTTGTATAACTATCGAAAGCTAACTCGGCTTTGGAAGGCAATCGATTCCGATTTCCGATAAATTACCAAAAACTTAGTAGGCCTTCAAAATATAATACCAAAGCAGGCTTTGAAAATGATTTTGCAAGAGCTCTCAATGGCTGTGTAATATTTTGTTCATTAATCTTTTGAACCTCGTACAGAAAAGAACTCTATATTCAAATACGAAATTTTTGTGAATGTTTTAGGCCTGTAAGTAGAAATATTTATTCAAATCAAAAGTAATATAAAAATAATTGTTTTTAAAGGTGCCAGTCTCTCCTGTAATTAAACATTGTGCCATTTGGGTCCGTCGGCATTTTGGAGACTTGGAGGCTGAAAATAATCACAATATTTCTAAAATCGATTTGCCCCTTAAATAGAACTTATTTCCGTGAAGAAATTGACTTAAGGGTTGGTACTATATCGCCGCTAATTTAGGGCCTATCTGATTATCCCTGACCTACAGCAAGAAAACTCGCCACCCTATCAAGATGTGTAATCCATGCTATTCGTGTTGCGACTCCTGCTGCTCACCTTGCTGTAGCCCTTGCTGTAGCCCCTGCTGCAGCCCCTGTTGCGGCCCCTGTGGACCCTGCGGCCGTAGCCCGTGCGGCCCTTGCAACCCTTGCTGTGGAAAACGAAATGGACTACAACCCTGTTGCGGCGGCTGTGGACCGTGCTGTTAACTAAATCTTCTTCAGAACGAAATTAAGGAATAATGCAATAGTACCACAAACAATATAGACGGCACCTTGTAATTTGTAAATTTAAAATAAATAATAGATCTGACCAACTAAAATAACATTGAAAAATATCTTATCGCATAATTCTGTGCCGTATTTGGCATTTTAGTTATCTGGCTAGCACTTTCTAGGAACATAGTTGATTATTCTGCATTACGATGAATATTGGAATCGCTTTTAAAGTAGTCTGTTCAGAAAGTACAGACCATATTACATAGCTATGTACTCGTGTTTCAGCCTAGTAGGCATTGGATTTCACCTCATAGTCCAGCTTCAGCCTCACAGTTTACGTATAGATTTTTAGTCAGTTCAACACCGACACTGAAACCTTTCGGTACTCAAATTTCGAAATAAATATTTTTGAAATTTCGGCATTTTTTCCTATTTTCGTGTAACGCGAGCAATGTAAGATTAATTATTAGCTCCAAAGACTTAATAAGAAGTTAAAAATCCTATACAGCTCATACCAAATCATCATGTTTGGATATACGTGCTATCCCGGCGCCTGCATTGGAATTTGCGGTGGTAGCGCACCTGGTGGTTATTATGATCCCTGCTTTGGGTCATTCAACGGACCTTTTAATAGCTGGTGGGGTCCAAGCGGACCCGGTTTCTGGACTGGACGAATGTGTTAAAAACGCTGGACGCTTTTAATTTTTGTCTTGGTACGATTATTTTATTAATTATTTATTTAATTTTACTAACTGTTGTTCACAGAAGTACACTGAATAAACTGGCTTTTAAATTCGGATGAGGCGGTGATGAGATCTCGGTTGCAGAAGAAATCTAGGAAGAATAGCTCACAGCTACTATCATGTGTAGCTCTCAAAATTATTTATGTCCATAGAATACAGCGTTCAAGATAATTGTTACTGCACACTAAATATATCATTTCATATAAAGAAACAACTGTTTTGAATGTTCTGATAGCTATATTAAAACTGGCAACATGCAATGTCTTGCCATAGGATATATATGTCGATACAAGTATTTCGAAATATATTCGGTCTGATCTTCGGTCGCGTTCCCGATTTAGAGCTAATACCGTCTTTAGGTGTAGACTTTATAAAAATAAATTTGCAAAATTGCTTTTAACAAATCGCAGTTAGCCTTGACTTTCAGGTTTAAAATCTTTCGTAAGCCCAGCAGTGAATTAAAAAATATCCTCAGTCTTCAACAAACATTTGTTAGTTCCATATACATTTTTTGGAAACAAGAAAAACAAATTAAAAATGTTTATTCGAAATTCGTCGGTAAATCTTAATTCCAAAAAATGGCTAAAAGTAAGTATTTTTGGCAAACCAAATTCACCAATTTCTGAAAGTTTTTCACAGCTCGATACGTAATACTACAAGTCATGTTTTTTGCTTGCACTCCTTGTAAATAATTTCGTACACAAGTTTTTCCTGTGTGTCCCACACAGTATTAATAACTAATACATTTTTAAAATTTCGACGGCGTGTCGATAAATTGGTAAGTTACAAATATACTATGTTTTTTTTTCAATTTATCAATTTTCTCTAAACAGATTTCGCTGTTAACTATAATCGTTTTATGGTGTTAGCCATATGTTGGAATTAGGATAGGATAGAGATAGGATACAGAGCACAATGCACCCACATTAGTGATACTGGACGTTATCGCTGGTACTGGTATACTGGGTAAGTCAAAATTCATGTGAATTTTAATTAATTATATATATTTTCTCCACAAGATTTGCATGGTTTTCAATAGTTAAGTTGGCATCAAGTTGTTATTTAATGGTGATGATGGTATGATGGTCTTAATTTAATGGGATTATAAGGAAGAGTTAATAAATGTTAATTACAGACTTGTTGTGTGTACTTATTTTGTAAAATAGCTAAATGGAAATTTCAATTGCGTACACATAGCTATGAAATAAAGTTGCGGGAGGAATATGTTCTGAAAGAAGACGAGTGTTTTATCCCAAATAACCCAATCGAACAGTGGAAACTGTTGATAGCAACTATAATATATAATTGTCATCTGAGACATAGGGGCACAAGTAAAACTAACTAAACTAGCTAAATTAACTTTTCGCTTGGCAAACGTATTACTCAAATATTAAGAGAAACATTTGGCAACTTAACATGTTATATATAAAAATATTAATCTGATAATAGTTGCCTTGAATTAAACTTCTGAAGGGTTATCTTAAATTTGACGGATACAGTTCTATCCACAAGTAGTATGTTTAGTACATATACATAATTGCATTATATTTAAAAAAGAGAGGTTTTATAAAGATTTGTCACAGGAGAATTCAGAAGTATGATTCAAAGATATTAACTTTAGCAGCCGTGCAGCATTTATTAAAAAATACCCATATATATATTACAAATATTTGAAAATATAAAGAAAAAATATAGTAGGCCTAAGTAAAAACTGTTCAAGGTCCAATGGACCTTCTGAATATTTAGACATACATCATTGAATGTTTTTACATAAAACATCCTGGCACAATATTTGTATTTTCATTGTGACTGTTTTTAGGCATGTAAGTAGAAAAGAAAATGTAAAATTAAATTGGAAGAAATATTTTGAAACATCTATTTACAACAGGAGTCGGTCTGTTTTTGTAATCAACCAATAGGCTACACGGACTTTGTGGACGCTTAGAATCTGGGAATTGCCCTCGACAATATTGAATTCACAAGCAGTGAAGAACATTTTCACGAGGCATTCAGCTGAAAGGTAGGTGCTTTTCTACCTTGCACACAACAGGTCTTACAATAATCGCTATGAAACACAAAAGGAAGTCCATCAAGATGTGCCACGACGGTTGTTCCACTCTAATTCCTATCCGTAGACCATGCTGTGAGCCCTGCTGCGGTCCCTGCTTTGGCTCCTGCTGCGGACCATGCGGTCCGTGTGGTCCTTGTGGCTGTTCACCATGCTATGGATCATGTGGAACTTGCTGTGGCGGTTGTGGACCTTGCTGTTAGCGATTTCTTCAGAACAAAACTAAGTCCCCTTGAAAAGCCACCCAATAAATGAATTGTAAATTTTAATAGAGAAAATGTAAATTTAATTCACAAATTTTTTATTTGTTTATCACGTCATAAGTTCTATTTTCATAAAGTGAAAAGGGGCTTGAAAATGGTGGCGGTGGTGGAGGTAATCCCGGAAACGGTAATGCAGGAGGTGTGAAATGCGCTGGAACCGGAAATCTAGGAGGAGTCGGAAGCTTGGGAGGGCTAGGAAGGGCTGGAACTGGGAATTTGGGAGGGGCTGGAAGATTGGGGAAACTAGGAAGGGCTAAATCTGGGAACTTGGGAGGGGTTGGGAAGTTGGGTAGACTAGGAAGAGCTGGAACCGGTAATTTGGGTGGAGGTGGAAGGGCTGGAAAACTTGGAAGAGCTAGACTTGGAACTCTGGAAGGAGTTGGCAAGACGGGAGGCATAGGAAAAGATAGAGCTGGTATTCTCGGAGGAATTGGCAGTAAATTATTGATAGGCGGTAGGCTTGAAAGCGGTAAAGCAGGTGGTCTAGGACCTGGTGGAAGCGGAGGCAGTACTTGAAGACCCGGTGGTGGCGGTATTTGTGATAAAGGCGGGATAAACGACGAGATATCAGGAAGTGTTGGAAAATGTGGAGGTGGTATTGCAGCTGGAAATGGAAATGATGGAAAAGGTATAATAGGCAGGCGGTCTGAATTCAGAAGACCAGAAAGTGCAGGAAATGGAAGCATAAACGGTGGAAACTGTGGTATATGATGATGATGGTTGTGTTGGTGCACATGATAATTGTCTGGATCAGCAGTAGACATAGTTGTCACAGTAGACAAAGTGGCATTTGTAGAAATCGAGTTTGAAGCTGGAGTTGTAAACACTGAAGTTGTCGGATCTACAGTTGTGGACATTGGAGATGATACAGTTGGCTCTAGAGAAGTAGACCCCGGAGAGACTGTAGTAGTAAGTGGAGTTGACTTTGTGGATAAGAGTGGAGTTGTCTGCGTAGTTGAAATCGGAGTTGTAGAAACTGGAGTTATATTTGTAGTTAAAAGTGGAGTTGTCTTTGTGGTAGAAACAGGAGTAGTTTTTGTAGCCTTCGTTGTAGAGATTTTAGTTGTTTTAGCAGTTGAAGTTGGTGTTGTCCTTGTAGTTGTATTTAAAGTTGACTTTGTTGTAGAGATTTTAGTAGTCCTTGTAGTAGAGTGGAGTTGTCTTTGTAGATGACACAGGAGTAGTCTTTGCAGTTGAAATTTGTGTTGTTGTTTCAGTTGAAACTGGGGTTGTCTTTGTTGTAGAGATTTTAGTAGTCTTTGTAGTTGAAAGATGAGTTGTCTTTGTGGTAGAAACCGAAGTTGTCTTAGTTGCCTTCGTTGTAGAGATTTTAGTTGTTTTTGCAGTTGAAATTGGTGTTGTCTTTTCAGTTGAAACTGGGGTTGTCCTTGTTGTAGAGATTTTAGTAGTCGTTGTAGTTGAAGGTGGAGTTGTCTTTGCAGATGACACAGGAGTAGTCTTTGTAGTTGAAACTGGTGTTGTTGTTTCAGTTGAAACTGGGGTTGTCTTCGTTGTAGAGATTTTAGTAGTCTTTGTTGTTGAAAGTGGAGTTGTCTTTGTGGTAGAAACAGGAGTTGTCGTAGTAGCCTTCGTTGTAGAGATTTTAGTAGTCTTTGTAGTTGAAATTGGGGTTATCCTTTCAGTTGAAGCTGGGGTTGTCTTTGTTGTTGAGATTTTAGTAGTCTTTATAGTTGAAAGTGGAGTTGTCTTCGTAGATGACACAGGAGTACTCTTTGTTGTAGAGTTTTTAGTAGTCTTTGTAGTTGAAGGTGGAGTTGTCTTTGTTGATGACACATGAGTAGTCTCTGTAGTTGAATATAGGGTTGTCTTTATTGTAGAGATTTTTGTCGTTTTTGTAGTTAAAGGTGAAGTTGTCTTTGTAGTAGAAACAGATGTACTTTTTGTACCAGGAGTTGTCCTAGTAGCCTTCGTTGTAGAGATTTTAGTAGTCTTTGCAGTTGAAATTGGTGTTGTCCTTTCAGTTAAAACTGGGGTTGTCTTAATTGTAGAGATTTTAGTAGTCTTTGTAGTTGAAAGTGAAGTTGTCTTTGTGGTAGAAACAGATGTAGTTTTTGTTGCCTTCGTTGTAGAGATTTTTGTTGTTTTTGCAGTTGAAATTGGTGTTGTCCTTTCAGTTGAAACTGGGGTTGTCTTTGTTGTTGAGATTTTAGTAGTCTTTGTGGTTGAAAGTGGAGTTGTCTTTGTAGATGACACAGGAGTACTCTTTGTTGTAGAGATTTTAGTTGTTTTTTCAGCTGAAATTGGGGTTGTCCTTTCAGTTGAAACTGGGGTTGTCTTTATTGTAGAGATTTTTGTCGTTTTTGTAGTTGGAGGTGAAGTTGTCTTTGTAGATGACACAGGAGTAGTCTTTGTTGTAGATGACACAGGAGTAGTCTTTGTAGTTGAAACTGGGGATGTCTTTGTTGTAGAGATTTTAGTAGTCTTTGTAGTTGAAATTGGTGTTGTCCTTTCAGTTGAAACTGGGGTTGTCCTTGTTGTAGAGATTTTAGTAGTCTTTGTAGTTGAAAGATGGAGATGTCTTTGTGGTAGAAACAGGAGTTGTCTTACTAGCCTTCGTTGTAGATATTTTAGTAGTCTTAGTTGTTGTTATTGGTTGTGTCCTTTCAGTTGAAACTGGGAGAGATTTTAGTTGTTTTTGCAGTTGAAACTGGGGTTGTCTTTGTTGTAGAGATTTTAGTAGTCGTTGTAGTTGAAGGTGGAGTTGTCTTTGCAGATGACACAGGAGTAGTCTTTGTAGTTGAAACTGGTGTTGTTGTTTCAGTTGAAACTGGGTTTGTCTTCGTTGTACAGATTTTAGTAGTCTTTGTTGTTGAAAGTGGAGTTGTCTTTGTGGTAGAAACAGGAGTTGTCTTAGTAGCCTTCGTTGTAGAGATTTTAGTAGTCTTTGTAGTTGAAATTGGGGTTGTCCTTTCAGTTGAAGCTGGGGTTGTCTTTGTTGTTGAGATTTTAGTAGTCTTTATAGTTGAAAGTGGAGTTGTCTTCGTAGATGAAACAGAAGTTGGCTTAGTTGCCTTCGTTGTAGAGATTTTAGCGGTTTTTGCAGTTCAAATTGGTGTTGTCCTTTCAGTTGATGCTGGGGTTGTCTTTGTTGTTGAGACTTAATAGTCTTTGTAGTTAAAAGTGGAGTTGTCTTTGTGGTAGAACCAGAAGTTGTCTTAGTTGTCTTCGTTGTAGAGATTTCAGTTGTTTCTGCAGTTGAAATTGGGGTTGTCCTTTCAGTTGAAACTGGGGTTGTCTTTATTGTAGAGATTTTTGTCGTTTTTGTAGTTGGAGGTGAAGTTGTCTTTGTAGATGACACAGGAGTAGTCTTTGTTGTAGACATTTTAGTAGTCTTTGTAGTTGAAAGTGGAGTTGTCTTCGTAGATGACACAGGAGTAGTCCTTGTAGTTGAAACTGGGGATGTCTTTGTTGTAGAGATTTTAGTAGTCCTTGTAGTTGAAAGTGGAGTTGTCTTTGTAGATGACACAGGAATACTCTTTGTTCTAGAGATTTTAGTAGCCTTTGTAGTTGAAGGTGGAGTTGTCTTTGTAGACGACACAGGCGTAGTCTTTGTAGTTGAAACTGGGGATGTCGTTGTTGTAGAGATTTTAGTAGTCTTTGTAGTTGAAAATGGAGATGTCTTTGTGGTAGAAACAGGAGTTGTCTTACTAGCCTTCGTTGTAGATATTTTAGTAGTCTTAGTTGTTGTTATTGGTGTTGTCCTTTCAGTTGAAACTGGGGTTGTCTTTGTTGTAGAGATTTTAGTAGTCTTTGTAGTTGAAAGTGGAATTGTCATTGTGGTAGAAACAGGAGTTGTCTTAGTAGCCTTCGTTGTAGAACTTTTAGTAGCCTACGTTGTAGAACTTTTAGTAGTCTTTGTAGTTGAAATTGGTGTTGTCCTTTCAGTTGATGCTGGGGTTGTCTTTGTTGTTGAGATTTTAGTAGTCTTTGTAGTTGAAAGAGGAGCTGTCTTTGTGGTAGAAACAGAAGTTGTCTTAGTTGCCTTCGTTGTAGAGATTTTAGTTGTTTTTGCAGTTGAAACTGGGGTTGTCTTTGTTGTAGAGATTTTAGTAGTCGTTGTAGTTGAAGGTGGAGTTGTCTTTGCAGATGACACAGGAGTAGTCTTTGTAGTTGAAACTTGTGTTGTTGTTTCAGTTGAAACTGGGGTTGTCTTCGTTGTAGAGATTTTAGTAGTCTTTGTTGTTGAAAGTGGAGTTGTCTTTGTGGTAGAAACAGGAGTTGTCTTAGTAGCCTTCGTTGTAGAGATTTTAGTAGTCTTTGTAGTTGAAATTGGGGTTATCCTTTCAGTTGAAGCTGGGGTTGTCTTTGTTGTTGAGATTTTAGTAGTCTTTATAGTTGAAAGTGGAGTTGTCTTCGTAGATGACACAGGAGTACTCTTTGTTGTAGAGATTTTAGTAGTCTTTGTAGTTGAAGGTGGATTTGTCTTTGTAGATGACACAGGAGTAGTCTTTGTTGTAGACATTTTAGTAGTCTTTGTAGTTGAAAGTGGAGTTGTCTTCGTAGATGACACAGGAGTAGTCCTTGTAGTTGAAACTGGGGATGTCTTTGTTGTAGAGATTTTAGTAGTCCTTGTAGTTGAAAGTGGAGTTGTCTTTGTAGATGACACAGGAATACTCTTTGTTCTAGAGATTTTAGTAGCCTTTGTAGTTGAAGGTGGAGTTGTCTTTGTAGACGACACAGGCGTAGTCTTTGTAGTTGAAACTGGGGATGTCGTTGTTGTAGAGATTTTAGTAGTCTTTGTAGTTGAAAATGGAGATGTCTTTGTGGTAGAAACAGGAGTTGTCTTACTAGCCTTCGTTGTAGATATTTTAGTAGTCTTAGTTGTTGTTATTGGTGTTGTCCTTTCAGTTGAAACTGGGGCTGTCTTTGTTGTAGAGATTTTAGTAGTCTTTGTAGTTGAAAGTGGAGTTGTCATTGTGGTAGAAACAGGAGTTGTCTTAGTAGCCTTCGTTGTAGAACTTTTAGTAGCCTACGTTGTAGAACTTTTAGTAGTCTTTGTAGTTGA